CATCCATCATCCATCCATCATCCATCCATCCATCCATCATCCATCCATCCATGGTTGGTGCCTTATCTCCGGCAGTCTATGGGGGACAGGTGGGGTCCACGCTGGACAGGTTGTAGGCTACTTAGTAAAATTTCACATCAATATTCATCACTAGAGCCATCTTTAAATGTGACGGGAAAGTTTGCTTCAGGTTGGATTTAAATCATTTTACAAGCTAATAAAGACTCAGTCAAAGCATTGAAACTTAGAAAGGGTGTACTTTCTTTTTTGCCAAGTAATGCAGCCCTAGAGATCTTTAGGATACAGGAATCAGCTGTGTGCTGACCGAGCTCAGCAATGTACATAAAGGCAGCAGTAATAACCTGTCAAATGTCAACACTGTTGTTGCACCACAGGGTTTCAGCATTCACCTTTGGACTTGCTGTCCCCCTGTAACAGAACATTGCTAGGTGAACTTGTATGGTCTCTAGTGGGAGATGACTTAGATCCAAACAGGTACCTGCAATTAAACAGAAGACCCTCTGAGCTGAGTTATGTTTTCCTAAAACCAAGATATGGGATCAAGACAAGGTTTCTATGTATTCTGGTAAACCTTATCAGTGACACATTAGTTACTATGGTGATTGATTCTGTGTAGCAATTCTGCTTTAGACCAGGCTAACAGCCAGGCCTAGTTAATCCTGCTGCCTCATCTATTTGGTCAGCATTACTGTTGGGATCTGGAGCTGTACCACCTTCCTCCAGCAGAGTGCGCCGTGGGTCCTCCAGAACTGGAACCTTCCAACACACCTGAGGCGCATCTCCTCATCAGGGACCTGCCTATTTAACCTGCTTCCAGACCTTGCCTCGACGCCGCAGTGTTGACCTAGTTTGGTTAGCGACCTGAGCCTAGAACCTGAGAATCTTTACTATCTCATTGATGAGATTAGATTCTAATTCTCCCTTGTTTTGTGCCTCACAGGAAACCTGTCTCTACCCGAGGTTCTGGATGAGCTTAACCTGCTGTGATTGCCCTCGTGAGCCAAACCTGAAGATTCTTCTGTGGATTCCCCTGCAGCTCTTGGATAAGAGCTGGAAACTCAGATTAAGGTCTGCCCTCAAAGTCAGAAGCAAGACGCTGAAGCAACTCTTGGACTCTGCTGAACTAACAGTCTCTGGACCCATCAAGTGCCCTCTCTCTCAAAGAGAAAACCTGACCACTTCAAGGTATTCATCTGAATATTCAAAGACTCCTAACTCTTCAGTTTGTTTGCTAATCAAACTATCATCTCTGCAGACTCCAGTGAGCCAGTTCCTGACCTGTTCCCGTGTCAGTACATTACCCTTTTGTTTATTCACAATAAACTCTGTTAAACTTTTATTCTGCCTCCGCGTGTGTTCTGCATTTTGGTACCCATCATGACAATTACACAGATCAGAAACCAAGGAGAGCAAGAAAGAACTATAGTTATCAGGCTCCTCTCCTGTGGAACCAACTACCAGTTTTAGTCCGTGAGGCAGACACCCTGTCTACTTTTAAGGCTAGGCTTAAAACTTTCCTTTTTGATAAAGCTTCTAGTTAGAGTGGCTCAGATTATCCTGATCTATCTCTATAGTTCTGCTGCTATAGGCTTAGACTGCTGGAGGACATAGGGACCCCTTTTTCATCCTTCTGTTCATTCTATCTCTATAGTTCTGCTGCTATAGGCTTAGACTGCTGGAGGACATAGGGACCCCTTTTTCATCATTCTGCTTCATTCTATATCTATAGTTCTGCTGCTATAGGCTTAGACTGCTGGAGGACATAGGGACCCCTTTTTCATCATTCTGCTTCATTCTATCTCTATAGTTCTGCTGCTATAGGCTTAGACTGCTGGAGGACATAGGGACCCCTTTTTCATCATTCTGCTTCATTCTATCTCTATAGTTTGAGTCTGTGGATGTCCTCCTGCCACTAGAGGGTGTTCCTGCTGCTGTTGGTGAGACGTTACATGTTCACTTCATGTTCTGACTACTGAGCAGTGCTGTTGCTGTCCAGACTATCTCCGTCTGAATGAAGTTATTTTTTTCTGTGATATCTCTAACTGACCAGAACTACTTTAAAACATAGCGCCTTCTGCTGCACGTTTCTACTAAACACTTGTCAGTTTCACACGGTTTTATTTCTGACAGCAAGGAGTAGCTAGCCTAGGCTAGCGCTAGCTTAGCATTGCTATGGCTTCTCTCTCTCCCTCCCTTGACTCTTTTTCAACTCTTCCTTCTTCCTCTCCTCTCTCCTGCTCTCTGTGTCAGATGTTCAGTTATTCCTCTGCCTCCTTTAGTGATAATGGGATGTGTAATAAGTGTAGTATTTTTGTAGCTTTGGAGGCGAGGGTGTCAGAGTTAGAATCCAGGCTTCAGGCTGTTGAACATCCAGGAGTTAAAGTAGGCCCCCCACGTAGCTGTCCTCCAAAAGTGCCTGAGCAGCCAGGCGATTGGGTAACTGTACGCAGAAAGCGTAGTCGTGGATCTCTGCCCACTGGTCACCACCAACCCGTTCACGTTTCTAACCGGTTTTCCCCACTCAGTGACACACCCACTGAGAAGCCCACTCTGGTGATTGGCAGCTCCATAGTCAGAAACGTGGCATTAGAGACACCAGGGACCATAGTCAAATGTTTGCCGGGGGCCAGAACGGGCGACATGCTACTTTCTAGGAATCTGGCCACATTTATTAGTCCTCCAAAACCCTGACCCCCCAGGGTGCAGACCAGGAAGCAGAGTTGTAGTTTAACACACATCTCTGCAGCTTCTCTACTGTTACCCACTCTTTACTCCATCCAGACAGTGTCTTGCCCACGACCAAAATCTAATAAATTACCAAAGATTCCCAAAGGAGTAAATCATGATAATCTAATTAAAATCAAAATAACTCCAATTGGAGAAAAAGTTAAAACGATTAAATGCGGTCTGTTTAACATAAGATCTCTTTCCTCTAAAAGTCTACTAGTTAATGACTTGATTTTTGATAATCACATTGACTTGTTTTGCCTTACAGAAACCTGGCTGCAGCAAGAGGATTATGTGAGCATAAATGAGGCAACTCCTTCAAGCTATTTAAATTTTCACATCCCCAGAAGTTCTGGGCGAGGAGGAGGAGTAGCAACAATCTTCCAGTCTGACTTACTGATTACTCCCAAAACAGTTAATACCTACAACTCTTTGAACATTTAACCCTTAATTTCCCTGATCCAAATTTCAAGGCAAGAAAACCTCTTCTTTTTGTAACTTTGTGTCGTCCACCAGGTCCTTACTCTGAATTTTTAGATGAGTTTTCAGAGTTCCTTTCTGATTTGGTATTAAAAACTGACAGGGTCATCATAGTGGGAGATTTTAACATCCATGCTGACATTGAAGGCGATAGCTTAAGAGCAGCCTTTAAAGGAATAGTACACCCAAAACATGATTAGCCTTCATTTTCTACTCACCCCCATGCTGAACAACACTCTGGAGTACTTTTTTGATATCTCAAATGCATCTGGAGATCTGGGAGGCTTCTTGCTGTCTGCTGACATTCAAATAATGGAGGTCTATGGCGCCCGAGACAGAAAGGTCCATAAAAGTCCACAAAAATGTGTCAATATTCCTCCATACTGCTCGTCCAATGTAATCCAAGTGTCCTGAGTGGGTAGCATCCAGAATTTACTCGAAACGAAGTCATTTAGAACGTTTTAGAGCCTAAACAGTAGTGTATAGGATTTCCTAATAGCGCCCCCATGCGCGCTCACGATTCTACGGAAACCGCGGCAGACCAAACCGGAAGAACGTGCGCATTCAGCGTCTGCTCTGCCGATAATGCAAGCGTAGAAGAAGAAGTTCCGCTTTTCACCTGTTTATTTTCTGCCCTGAGCCAGGTGAGCACGAGGTCAGTCTCTCTCAGAGTTTGAAAAAGTTGTTGATTAGTGATTTTAGTCGTGAAATTAAGAAGATGGTTCGAGTGTGTTCCTATCCTGGATGCTTCAATCAGATGAAGCGCAAGTGTGGAATAACCCATTCCGTAACTTTCCACAAATTACCTCTTCGGGACCCTGAAAGGCTAAAACTGTGGCTAATAGCTCTACGAAAAGATCTAAGGACAGCTAACGTGGATTCTCTCCGTGTCTGTAGTGAACACTTTTCAGCGGATGATTTCCGAACCTGTAAAGGAAGAGCTTTATTAAAGAGTACAGCTGTGCCGATGGTGTCACAACTAAGGACAGAGGTATGTACTTTATAAACCATTTATGTAACTTACACGTTTGTATATGATCTGTATTTTTACCGGTACTTTTTTAAAAAACGTTAAAATGTTAAAACACGCTAATATTACTTGAGTAAAAATGTTAACTTCCACATCAATTTGGACAATCATGGAATTTTTTACAAGTCATGTTATTTTAGTTGCTTTGTTATCAGACGGATTTTTTTTACACTGTATGTATGTACAACCCACCTATTGACAAACACCCGCTCCACAGCTCAGTGTGACATTATATTAATTTTGTGATCAATCAATGTGATCATTGATGGCCTGCAAGTTGTTAGTGTTTAGGAGTTAATAAAAAATAAAAATCTGGATGATAATAACTCAACTTTTAGTACCCAGGGAAATACTAATGTGATCCATGATTTAAAATACATACATAAATAAATAAATAAATAAATAAATAAAAAAGTGAAATGAATGACATCGTTAGAGTAATTGATGTAATATTGGATTTGATAGCCTATTTATCTTTTTGTCTTTACAGCCCAGGCTTCTTCGCAAAATACAACACCTACAGCTTCATGGAGGACACAACAAAGGAAATAATCCTTTTTCAGTTAGTGCAGGTAAGGGAAATTATTATTTCATATTTCATATTACAACATAATATGAGAACAATTGTCAATTGTGTGTTTACAAATTGACTGCACAAAGATACATATGCATATATTTTGTAGTTTTATTTGGATTTTGGTCATTCTAATTGGCAAATAATAATTGTGAAGCGGAAGACTGTGATCTATGTATATGTTTTTTTTTTTAGAGGGTGGGATTGAATTTGGTTTTGTACTTAATCCCACTTGTTTTCGTTCTTCAATTTGATAAATGTAGCCTACATTATTTTTTAAATTTCTATATTTATCTATTTTCAGTTTTCTTTTTTTATTGTATCTTTTTTTTAATATTATTATTATCTATTGTATTTATTATCAATTTTGGTGCATTTATTATATTGTTTTTCTTCCTTTTTTTTGGGGTAATGTTTCTCATTTTCATCATGTGCGGAATGAAATTAAAGAAGTAAATAAATGTATGTCTAATATGTGGAACATATTACAAAATCAATGTTGCTATCGGATTATGACAAGCACTGTCCCATCAAAGATGTATGAAAATGATTTTAAACATTAATTTTTTGTTTTGTGGTACAGGTGACAGAGGCATCCAGCTCTGCTGCCATGGAGCCAGTGGGGTTCAGGAGAGGACTTGATTATCTCCTTGAGCAAGGTCTTGAAGTGGAGGTGGTAACCACTGACCGATCACCATCTATACGAAAAATTATGCGCAAAGAGTATCCGGAAATCCACCATGAGTTTGACATCTGGCATGTTGTCAAGGGTAAGCTGACAAATTGTAATTTGTAAATGTACAATGGTAAAGGAATTACTATAATGAGGAAAATGTTTTTACAATATACTTTGGATAGCCCTTGTACAGCCACATAAACTTTTACATCATTTACCCCTCCCTTGCCAAAGCGCTGGCACCTGCCTAGGTTATACACAGCCCCATTGTGATCCCACACTCCTCTATTACCTGCTCCCACCTTGTACTTCATACCCACCAAGACTATGTTGACGTCACCCATGTGCAGAAGTGCAGTCTGTTGGGACTGTACATCTCCAATCACCTACACTCTCTGAGCCCTGAGCTCCCCATTGTCGTTAAAATTAAATTAAATGAAAAATACTTTATTTATCCCAGAAGGTAAATTAAATGTTTTAAAAAGCTCACACTCCTTTCTTTTTTTCGAAACAACAAAGCAATATTGTCTCTAACACCTGGTTCCCTTGATCCTTCCCAAACTCTTTGATCCACCTGTATGAACAACATGTCCTGTCTAACGTTTAGTGCCACCTCAGTGACGTTGCCACCATACACCTGGTGGATACATTTCTTGTACTCCCCAACCAGACTATTTTATAAAGGAATAAGTTTCTTGGATGAGAGACAAAACATCTTCTACTCACACGTTTACTCCAGTTGCCATATTTTATGCTTGCTTGAGACTCATTGACGATTGTTCTGTTTTTGGTAGGGCTAATGAAAAAAATTGCTGTCAGCATCCAACAAAAAGGACAACCGAGACCTGCAACCATGGATAAAATCCATCTGCAATCACTTGTGGTACGCCTGTTCCACTTGTGGAGGTGACCCTGATGTGAGTAACATCACATTCTTCACATTTAGGCAACATAAAGTTATGATAATAATAACTGATAGTCTTTGACACAATCCTTTTACTCTCTTTGATACTGAATTGTAATTTTCTAATATCCTCAGGATTTGATAAGGAAGTGGAAAGCACTACTTCATCACATCTGTGGTGTGCACCGCTGGGAGGAAGATGGACAGGAGATTAAATGTGTGCATGCTGACCTTACGTCAGAGGAACAGAGGCGAAAGAGGTGGTTAAGGAGAGACTCTTACGCTTTCAAAGCCCTGACAGCTATTGCCCTGGACAAAGGACTCATGAAAGACCTTAGGCAAATGGCCCTTTTCAAACATACTGGTAAATATAACGAGGAAAGCACAATAATAATGAGAAATTCAAAATTTTAAATATTTAGTGAACTTGTCATTATTATGTTTTCTCAGGGAAGCTTGAAGTATTCCATGCATCTATGCTGAAATACACAGAGCAGAGACTGCACTTCCACTACTCAACAATGAAAGCTCGCACCCAGCTTGCCGTTATGGACCACAATGAAAATGTTCAGCGTGAACAGGCCTACACCAACACAGGTAACAAGAAAGTATCTTCAAAACAAAAAAACCTAACCTTGTGCGCTTTGCTCAGTGTCATATACTCATTTATGTCCTCAAAATGAGCTGTATTGAAAAAACAGTAAACATTACATTTAACCTTCAATGGGAACCGCACCTGTTTAGTGAGCTGCTGCACTAAGATCTGCATAACAAATATGGTACTTTATGGTCCTAATTCTCACCACCACAAAATTACAAGTACCAGATTCCTAATTATTTGGATACAATTTCTTGGTTCCTTTTTTGAAACCTAAAACCGAAACTTTTTGAATGCTTTATAATAGCTATGTTATTTCATTAATGTTTCCTCTGTCTTACATTTTCTTCTTTGTTTTTTAGGACAAGCACGGTTTAATGTGGTTTACCCAAAACAAACAAAAGAATGGGTCGCCAAAAAGATCTATGTTCCAACAACACAAACATTCCGGCAAAATCTGGTGGTGCAAGTTGTGCGGAGACGCCTGGACCCCAACATCAAGATCAAAGACCCCCAGTCATATGTTTCTATCCCTCCCATACCAGAAAACATTGCTCAGAAACCAAAGCCTGCCAAAGAGGAAGCCATACAAAAACATACTTCCCGATACAGCAGTTAGTCTGAGTGGTGCAGTATTTTTACTCTTGCCTTTTTATATTTGTACTTATGCAAATAAAAAGTCTAGCTGGTGGCATGTAATTTTAACCTTTTTTTTTTTCAAAATTCTGGGATACAGAGTCTGATAAGGGGTTTACTTAATATAGTTATGACATGACATTTTTAAATAAAATGGCATGTGTCTGTGGTTGGTTTGTCTGCATTTCACACTTAGGTCTAGAATAAATATTTAATCAAAGGAACAGAGTTACATCTTTCTTACCATCCAAAGTCATTTTGTTTATTTCCAAAACAACACAATAGTACAGGAAAGGTTACAGTTATCGGCTACATAAATTCTGAAATGTTATCTATAATGAGGCAGTATAGGTTTGTGATTTGGGAAAAAATATGAAATATAATGAAGTAGTACAAATTAATATGGAAGAGTCTCTTAGGATTTGTTTATAGTCTTTACAACTGTTCAAAAGCTGCCTCTGCCTCCTTGAAACCAGTATACACTCCATCTGGTGAAGGGTAGCTGGGACGGATGCTTGTAACAATACAGGCAGGTAAAACTCTTCTGCTGTCCTTGCCAAGTGTCTCGCCTTTCAGAATCCACTCGAGTACCACAGGGTAGGCCACCAACCTGTACTGACTGGGGGAGGGGGGGTGGGGGGGTAAAATGGAGCCAT